CAGAATTTTAAATAACGGATAAGCTCTATCTTTAGCTCTTTCTCCTTCAGTCTTAATCTTATTTTAAAATGACTTATCTTTTTATATTGTACAACAATTTGTGTTATTTAATTTTTGTCGAATGATGATGAAAGTTGTAATTTAGTTTATATTTTTTAATATACGTTTAGGTGGTTCAGTAAATGTTTAGTAAAAGTCTGTAAAAATGATAGTATGAATAATCGGTAATAATTATTTGTATATATGATCATCGATATTAAAGAGATGACAAATCTATTTTTTGTATAAAAACTTTGATGTTACATCACGCAAGTAATACTCAAAGTTGTACAACACGAGATGTATTTGTCATAGTTTACTATATGTATATCCTCCTTTAGGGAAGAATCCTCTCCAATTTTCCAGCTCCATTTAGTACTAACAGCTATTTTTTGTTTGTTTTGAATTTCGCGCAAAGCTACACGAGGGCTATCTGCGCTAGCCGTCCCTAATTTAGCAGTGTAAGACTAGAGGGAATGCAGCTAGTCATCACCACCCACCACCAACTCTTGGGCTACTCTTTTACCAACAAATAGTGGGATTGACCGTCACATTATAACGCCCCCGCGGCTGAAAGGGCGAGCATGTTTGGTGGGACGGGGATTGCGAGTCGAGCGTCCCAACCACCTGGCCATGCCGGGTCCCAGCTATTTTTCCCATAGACCTTTTGTTCCGTTATAAAACACATTAGACCAACAAAATAAATATAGACACAGGAACACGAACAAAATTATGTAAACCAAGCTTTTCACTACTTTATTGGATTTTAGATTAACTTAAAGAGCAGTCTTCAAGCATAAGAATTTTGGATTTGTTAACGAAGCTGACCAAAATTGTTTCTTGTTTTTTGGAGTGTTTCACTATGATGAATTTTGAAGCTTTTTCTTCTTGCACTATAAATCCTGAAAATTAAGTATGAGACATCACACACATATTATTTCAATTATTTTAAATGATTATCTTCATTACTCGTATGGGCAGAGCACAGATAGCCAATTGTGTAGGTTTGTGCCTAACAATAAAAAAAAAATACATAGACACAAGGTCGTAATTAAAACATATAATAGTTTTGATTTGTTTGTTTGTTTTTAATTATGCATAAAGCTACACAAGGGCTATCTGTGCTCTGCCCACCACGGGTATCGAAACCCGGATTCTAGCGTCGTAAGTCCGCAGACATACCGCTATGCCACTGGTGGGGGAATAGTTTTGAAATATGACTGTAATAATAAAAAGCACATGTCCGAATCACATAGCTACACAAGGGCTATCTGTGCTCTGCCCACCAAGGGTATCGAAACCCGGATTCTAGCTTCGTAAGTCCGCAGACATACCGCTGTGCCACTGGTGGGGGAAAAGCACATGTCCGAATCACATAGCTTTCCTTTCATATTTAACTCTCATATTCCTCAAATTATTTACTTGTTTTTATATCGTTCCCCAAGCCCCCGATAGGGCTTATAACGCTAAAATTCGGGTTTCGGATTGCGATACGCGGTTGGCAGAAGAACTTATACCAAATTGTGTAACTTTGTGCTAAAAACAAACAAAATCATTTGTTTGGGCACACATATTATGTCCTAATGATTATTTTCATGTTTCTGCCAGTTATAACACTGGATGTAAAGAACTATTTGAGAAATAAAATAACGGTAAAAATCTCTTATTTTACATGTAAAATATGCATAAAACTCCAGTAGTTATTATTGGTGTTTTTATTTAATCATGAACCAACAAGTAATTTGGGGCATACAATACTTAGAATCTTTATAAAGAAAACAGCCAAATATGTTCACAATGGCCACGTCGGTAATTCTAGGAATAAGAAACAAAGTAACAGAGAATTACATGCTTCCTGTTTAGGTGAATCGCTATCATAAGATTATTGTTTTGTTTTTTTGTCTGTTTTCTTCAGACTGTGCTGAGTATTGCATGTCCAAATAAAACATTCAATCCAAAGCTGACACTTCACTGCTCACGAATTTCGAAATTACCTGACACCACTCTATTACTGCATCCTCTAAGGTCAAGCATTGTATTTCGACTCAAACAGATTCAAATCCCAGCAATGTGAGAGAACGTAACTGTAGAAGTTGTTTAAATGTAACATGAAGAACCTCAATACTCGTCATCCTGATCTCAAAAATTGCGTTTCTATTAAGACTATACTATTTTCAAACTGATCGCGTTTGTAAAATTCAGACTTTTTTTTCCAGATAATCAGCTCGTTATATATTTCTTATTTTATTGTATTCGCAGTGACATAAATCAGTTCATCTTTGAAACAATGTATTAAATTCGATGACGAGGAACCCTCTTTAAGACTAATAATGGCTGGAGACGGCTTGAATGGGTAATGAAGAAAAACTTTAATATAAGTTTAACATAACAGCATATTAAAAAAAAAATCTACTTAGTATTATAAATAAAAAGATATATAAAATGAACATCATTTAATATCCGTTAATGTTTTCGGTAAAAGTATCTGTCTAGTCCCTCGTATCAGTGATTTCGATTTAGTTTCAGTGAAACATCTGTTATATAATCACTATTCATCAGGCATCAAAGTATTTTAAACTTTTATTATCAAACTGTATTTCATTATCATTAGACAAGGAATATCTCACTTAAAACAAGTAGTTATGGTTGAAACCACCATTAGTAATTTTTCTTCAGACATAAACCTATAATTAAAATTCCAATTTATCATCACGTCTCAACTCAATCTATTTTATTAAAACTTTAGAAACTACTTTAAAATGAAAACTTATTCAGACGCTTCGTCGAATGCAGTTATTCATGATGAGCTCCTTCGTTTCCACGGTGTATTGCATTCAATAATCAGTCCAATCTATTCTCGCTGAACCGAGTTCCTTCAACTCTAACTATTATTCAATTCTAGGACTAATGATTTGTAATTTGTTGATTGAAAGAATAGATGTCAGCCAAGGTCATGCGGTTATGAAACATGACCTTTTTTTTTGGAGTTTTTGATTAACAATAAAAAATTGCTTTTGTTTTTAAACAAGATAGCTTTTGAACAATTTAATATTTAAAGCTCATGTTTCAAAAATAACAGGATTTAATTCTTCCTTGGTTCATTAAATAGTAAAAGTCACGATAATTGTTCTTAACTTAAAAATATTCAAACCTTAAGTATGGTAAAGATATAAGTTGAGATCGAATAACCCTCTGGTGATAATCGTATCAACTAGTTACGAAAAGATAACGCACTAGAATTTGAGAGATGTCAACTTTATGTTTCTGTATTGTATGTTATTGTATGAAAAGAGAGAGAGAGCATAAAAAAGTAAAACCAAAACACGTTTTTCAAGAGGATGGACACATATTCCAATACGACGAGTTCTTGAGAATATAGATGACTTCTAAGAAAATATGACCAGTGATTTAAAACATATTTGTGATTAACGTTGCAATGTGGCAAATTATATATTTATTGTTATCAAACAATGGCTATAAATATCATAAAACTTCTCTAATTCACCACAGCTTATATTAAATAAAAACTAGCTTCTTCCATTCTTCTTCTGAAAACACCTATTTCATTAATTTAACGTATATAAAATGAAAGCTGATTAAGCTAAACGTGGAAGTTGAAAAAATGTAGCATCTTTGTTATCATCAACTCGATTGTACTCGGCATTATTCTTTCTTTACCAAATAAGCTAAAAGAACAACAGAACAATGTAAATTACCACAATAGCATATACATGTATAAAAAAAAGGACACTTTCAATTGGAAAATAAATTAATTAGATTATACATATATGTAATATATATATATATAAATACAATTTTAGTAAGTACGTCTGATCCTTTTCATAGCGAACAGTTACTCTTCAGAATGAAATATAAATTACTTTACGAACAAGTGTATGTATTATATATAGGTATATATGTGTGTGTGTGTAGAAACCAATTTTAAAGCTTTCGAATCGAAAAGTGACAAATATATTTATAAAATATTAAATAGCTTTTTTGAAAGTTAAGATTAAGTTAAGCCTCTCACTTCCTATTAGATTTTCCGCATTCAAGTGAAAAAAAAAAGATGCTGGTAAGTGAAGGCTAAGTTTAAGCTCTATTTAGGATAAGAGAACATAGCTTGTTGATAAAAGTTTGGAGACGGCTTGTCTGGGTAATGAAGAAAACGTTATCATAAATGTATGACGTTTCGACAAATTATGTCATCCTCAGATCGAAACGTCGTACATTTGTAATAAACTTTTCGCCATTACCCCCTCAAGTCGTCTCCAAAGTTTTGTTTTCTAAAAAGTGGGATCCTCGTCATCAAAAGGCTTGTTGATATTCGTCAGTTGATTTAATTATCTAAATAGTCAAAAACTCGTGGAAAAAACTAGTTTAAATTTAAATCATTCCAGACCCTACTGCTAGATGAAAAATACATTTGCTACTTTCATGTCAGAAACAACGAGTAGGAGGAAGATTATTTACGTGGAATAACACACATCTGAGTGTGATCGCTAGGCTCAAGTAGGAGGAAGATTATTTACGTGGAATAACACACATCTGAGTGTGATCGCTAGGCTCACATGTCAGATTCTAGACATAATTCTCTAATTATTATATAAAATGCTTCTCGGTTAATTGAGCAGCAGATACTTTATCATGCTATAATGCACTTATGAGGATATGTACTTTATATGTTTCAAAACAAGTAACCTGTTTATTCGATCGATTTCATAAGCAACTAGATTTAGATTCCGAAAGAGCCTGGGTTATAGGGGCTTTTTTTTCTTTCGTTATTTGCATAGTTTATTATCTTACGTATTCCTTATTATCAGGGACATTTTACAAATTCCTTATTAACTCAGCTCTAAACCTTATTCTTATCCAGACAAAGAAATAAACAAATGAAAAACCCTTACCTTCGCTTTCTTCATATACAAGGCAAAACTCACGCCACCCCCACACTTTAACAAGATCCACATAGGCTTTACCTAGCATAGCAGGCCGAGGAAAGAGATTGATGGACAGCCGTTGACGTTGTAATTGAAAGTCCCAACGAGCCTCCACATGGGGTATATCCAAAGCATCACAGATGGACTGGACATGCATACTGGTAACATCAGACTGAGTACCAAAAACACCGGCCACGCCCAGTTCCATCAAAGAACACACTAGAGGAAGTACGTGAAATGCACGTTTTTTGGTGACAGAAATGCAATATTTCTTGTTTTTATTTCGACTACCGCTACACAAACTACACTGTTTCACATGGTTCTTGTATTCATGTGCGACATTTGAATATTATTTACTTTAATTAATTAATAGACATAAAAAGATATTCACTAAATACATCAAGGATGAGCAAACAGAGAACTAGACAAGATCCATACCATCAGTGATTAAATATCTAAGAACGTGACATAAAGTCAATATTGTTTCTAAAGCAGAAAAGTAATTACTGCGTTACATATATCATTCTTGCAATAATCAAATGTTACTTATATAATTTTTGAAACACTTTTATTTACATATATATTGATCAAATAGATTTCAAACAGTTACCCAGGCAGAAGAAGCAAGGATTGTATGGAATAGAGCCTTAGTTATATGCAGGCGATCGGCTTTCAGAGCAGAAATGAAATATACAATAAGGCTAATTTCACTAGCAATTCATTTTTGCGTTTCCACAAGCTTATGGCTGGTACATAATGGAAAGAATGGCGATGTCAATCATTTATACGATGACGGTACCCCACTTCGAACAGATGAAGACCAACGCAATGACTTCATGTGTAAATACATTAACCAATCTGACGATGGTGACATACAGGAGAGGCTCAAAATATAGCAACCTCAAACTGAGCTACAGCGGGTATGGAAGCCATCATTAGCTTAGAAGAAACACATAGAGCCATAAGCATATACAAAAATGGAGGTTCAGGTCCGAATCGTATAAGAATCTCCACCTTTAAGAAACTTACAGAAGTCAACCTGACTGAAGTTAGTGTCAGGGTATCAATGTAGCTTAGCAGCAGGTAGCCTTCCTGAAATATTTAATGATATCTTTATGAAGTCCTTACGTAAAGCCATGAAAAACCACACTCGTCTTAAAGGGTATCAAATCATCGTCCTATAAAACACCAGTTGTGAGATACCAGAAAAGGCTTATCTAAACGGTTGAACCATACAACGTCCTCAAGAGTTCATTTTAACAGTCCAATAACACAGAAATGTATATACACTGCAACCAGTTGCTTGACCATAATGTCTTCATATGAAATAGCATGAACGCACGTTTCATTCTCCAGCTGCTTGAAGTATGTAATGATTGAACCATTGGAAGCAGCTTGTGTACACTTGATTTATGTTGTTTTCCCACATGAATATCCTTTTTGATTATATTGCATACTGTTGCCTGGGGGATGTAGACGGATTTTGCAACTGATCTTTCTGGTCATGGAATCTTTACCTATTACAATACGCAGCACTTTGTTTCTCATAACTGTAGTACGTCTTGTTGCAAGTCTTTTTCTTGGTGGTACTGGTACCCCAAGTTTATTCATATTCCTTTGTCTTCTCGTTCTATTAAGATAAGGGATATCAGTCTCTCGTAAATTCTAAATCCCCGACCTGAACACATCCTTATGATCTGAGTGTATGATTATTTTGTGTAGGATAGGGCTGTTATATGTCATTCCCAAAAGCTATTATTTTTCGGAAGCATCACCTAAATTACAAAACGTCAAACGATGTCCTAAAATAGATCTGATAAATTCCGTTCCCCCGTGACTTTATATCGTAACTTGCTAATCTATAATCTTTTAATGTAATGTATTCAATCCTCTACAGAAGGCCACTGATAACATAACTAAAGTAACCTTCTTCTACCTCTTGCAAGACAGCTGGGATAGTCACCTATTATTCAATTAAAATCAATTCAACATGCCGAAACAAAAGGTTTTGCAAAGTTATAAATATTCCCCGTAAATCGCAGTTTTCTTTCGTCATACATATCCCAAGATAGCAACATATAAAATGTGCAAAAATTATAAAATTATGAAATATTGATACCGAATATTCATAATTTGGAGAGAATTTACTAATCGAACATTTTTGTATTAAAAACATTTTCTCAAGCAAACTATTATAGTTTTATTAGCACTGCTCCACGCTTCTAATCCTTATGTTAAATAAGGATATATAATATCTATATAAATAATATGCTTGCATTTGTCTATCCAGAACTTTTCTCGCAAATTTCTTCATCAAATGATACAAATCTCATAATGTCAGAAAGACCTTTGTCCGAGGAGCCCAGGGTACATATTGGCTTTTCAATTCAGAATCCCCTTACCTGTTTTTGCTTAGCCAAACTTTTTAAGGCAATGAGTATGGCACACGATGGTCATTGTCATCATATGACCACTGGCTTCGATTTCAACTTTAGTTTCGTATTTCCAAAGTATTTGACACAAACAACACTTAATCGACGTGCAATTTCCTAAAAAAATTGACATTACACTGAATACAATTTCCAAGGACTTTCTCGACTTATTTAGATTTAAAATACGCATGCGCAGTTCGTTCAAAACCGTATCTTTATCACTTTGTAGACACACATTTAAATGTTTGTGCATATTCAGTTTGCCTTCATTCAAATGCCCCCCTGTGGCACAGCGGTATGTCTGCGGACTTACAACGCTAGAATCCGGGTGGGCAGAGCACAGATTGTGTAGCATTGTGCTTAATTACAACCAAACAAAGCCTTCATTACAACTTTACATTTACTTTACTTTGCAATAGTTTAGTTTCGGTTCGTTTCATAGACTGCTATAAACACCTTTTAGCTACTAGTACGGGTTTTATTCTTCGTTTTTGTGAGTTTCTTTGTGTCAACTCGTAATACCGTGTCATACACTGAACACTCACAACTGTTGTTTCATACTCTTTACACTATTATAAATACCATTACTGTATTTTATTGTTTACTTGACGTGCAGTTTTATTAAATAAAGTTACCTGTACGTGAGTTTGTTTGTCTGGCTGTGTAAAACATTTTCAAATAGACCAGAATTTATCGATCTATTACAAGAAAGCGTAGCTCAAATGGCGTGCGTGAAAATTTTAGAATAAGGAAAATTCAAGCGAAGAGCATGAAAACTATCGCAAATGTTTTGCGGATCGCGGCTAGTACAATATTATATTTGTTTTAAAATACGACATGGTAATTAATTTCATATTTTAGATAAAATACTGCAATAGCGCTTAGTTTTATTTAAAAATATAACGAACATGAAAATCCCGTTTCAATTCTGAATCAATGAAAACACTAAGATACTTTGATATGATTTTTACTCTTTGTCAAGAAAGAAAATCGCCCCTCAGTGGCACAGCGGTACGTCTGTGGACTTACAACGCTAGAAACAGGGTTTCAATACCCGTGGTGGGCATAGCACAGATAGCCCTTGTGTAGCTTTGTGCATAATTAAAAACAAACAAAACAAACACACAAGAAAGAAAATCATTAAACTGATCATTTTGTTTTGGAAGAATATTTATTAATATAAAGTTTTCGGACTTATAACGCTAAAATCATGAGTTCGGTTCCCCTCGGTGGACACGGCAGATAGCTCAATGTGGCTTTATTATAACAAAACACACCAGACAAAATCTAATTTAAAATATTAAAACAATTTTACTAAAACAAAACTATTAATAATTTCGGTTTTAATTAAATTTTGTGACCCTTTTTGAAATTTAATTTTGTATGATGTATCGCTAAAAAAAGTTTTTAATATAAAATATCTATTCTTTTATTTACTCTGCCTAAAGCATTGTTAATAGCGCTTCCACTTTAATTTTACATTCTGCCTAAAGCATTGTTAATAGCGCTTCCACTTTAATTTTACATTCTGCCTAAAGCATTGTTAATAGCGCTTCCACTTTAATTTTACATTCTGCCTAAAGCAATGTTAATAGCGCTTCCACTTTAATTTTCAATTCACATTTTTGAAGTTTCTAATTGATCTATTAAAGTATTTATATTCAACATCCTTTATATTTCTATTTAAAAAAAACTGATATCTTTAGAAGTTAAAAAATTCAAGTCATTAGTGAATTTAAGATACTTTACGTATACATTTGCCCCCCAGTAGCACAGCGGTATGTCTGCGGATTTACAACGCTAGAATCCGGGTTTCGATACCAAAAACAATCAACGCTCGAATTCTGGTTATATCGTTTTAAGCATTCTTTTTTAATTCTCCTGAAATTGATGATATATTAACAACTGAAATGCAGGACGCTAGTTAATCACTAATTAAAAAAAGTGATCGTATAGGATATTAACCATCTTAACAACTGAAATGCAGTATGCTAATTAATCACTAATTAAAAAATTTATCGTATAGGTTTGTTTGTTTGTTTGTAATTAAGCACAAATCTACACAACGGGCTATCTGTGCTCTGCCCACCACGGGTATCGAAACCCGGATTCTAGCGTTGTAAGTCCGCAGACATACGCTGTGCCGCTTGGGGGGCTATCGTATAGGACACTAACCATCATATTGATGAGATTCATCCTACTTCATCGTCATGTTCATATTTGATTGTATGTTTAAGACGAACACAAAACGTTTTAAAAATGTGTAACATAAAAACATTGTCCTGAGTTAAATGTAAGATTCGTTTGTTTTTGTTTTTCCTGACATAAGTAAGTGCATTAATCATACTCGTCATGCATACGTTTTAGTGTATTCCTAATATTTATAGTGTGTAGGTTTTTCGAATTTACTTGTTAAAACATTGGGTATTTGAGGAATAAATTATTGATCATCGACATTAGTTACATATATTTACCAATATTGACATGTGTTTCAATTTAATCGATATTGAATACCAAATACAATCTTTCAAATCCCTCTACTGAGAGAAATAATTAGATTTCATCCACTTCAAGTAACATAACCTTCATGTAATTTGCTTCACAGTCTGTACAACAAACTATAAAACTATAATGTTTCTTCGCGTTTGCTTGTTATTTGCTGACTTTTATGAAAACATTGCAAACGTATTAAAAGTAAATTAAATTTTAAGTCACTTCTTGAGATTAACTAAATGTTCTGAAGTATTTAGGATTAAGACTACAACACATCTAAACTCTAAATGTACA